ATTTACTACACGAAAGGATGGATTTGCACGGATGCCAAGGACTATATTTGCCTCGCTTTGGTTGTGTTTGCTACGAAGTCAAATGTCATGTTTGACCATTGTTTGCAAGGAAAGCATTGAAGGCAAAATACTAAATTCGCTTATTCTTTACGTATCCTGTAAAAATACGTGTAAGTGAACATTTGCCGAGACTTTGTTGTGGCAGAGATACACGTTTACATCTTATTTGTTCCATGTATATACGCAGTCAAATATTTCATTTTTGAACAGTTTTTCCCATTAGGGCAGAAGTAAACGCTGACACAGACTTGCTCAACGGAGGGGGGATCAAATAGAGAAATAAAAAACAAAACAAAATGCTTGTATGTCCAGCACTATACAAATATTTACCCCATTATAAAAAAAAAAAATTGATCCAAGTCACATATTGTCACATGGTGAAGAACTTACACTGTAACACTTTGAAAAAGTACTGAAGCATGTAAATAATGACGAGTCATAATCAAGGATGCCTGTACCTACATATAATGCTTTTGATTTGTTAACTGGTCTGTCTCTAATCACGTTGGAATTAATAAATATTATATATATCTTGAAATACAAGTAAAATATTTGCACATGGTAAACAGCTAAGACTTTAAAACAGTAAGCATAACACCTTACTCAGTGAATGCCTGAAACACCTACCGCTTTTGATTTGTTAACGGGTTGTCACCTTGGAATTAATAAACATTGTAAATATCTTCAAATACCATTCAAATTTTGTCACAAGGTAAACAGCTAAACACTTAAAACAGTAAGCATATCATTTTGCTAAGAATGCCTAAAACACCTAATGCTTTTGATTAACTGGTCAAATAAATCTTATAAATATCTTTAAATACAAGTCAAATATTGTCATATGGTAAACAGCTAAATAGTTTGAAACAGTAAGCCTAACTAAAAATACCTAAAACATTACATGCTTTCGATTCATTAACTATAATCCTGAAAAATTCTATACTAGATAAGATATCAATCATACAGTCTGGTTGATGGAATTCTCCCATTTTACAATTCATGAGTCAGTTCAAAGTAAATTTGAAAAATTAAGGACAGTAGAACAGCCTTACTTAGCTTGTAGATAAAGCTGTCACATAGAACAATAAGAAAAGACAGTATTCAATCGATCAATAACACATAGATGTAGCTTTCAGGAAAATACTAGAAGCTACTAAGTTGCGACCACATAAGAAACAACAGTCTTAATGTAACTGAATTTTCATTTCAAAACCTGAGGTCTCAAACATTTTAAAGCAAAAGAGTATGTGATTCTTAATCTAAGTCTACAGTCATGAACTGCATATACCAATCCTTTTCTTCTGCAGCTAAGGACGTAGAAAGGTTCAGAGCTTTCACTCTGCGGTTCTTTTTCTGTAGAAAAATATATTAAACAAAACTATTCACAGTTACACTAAATCTGAAAGTCACCAATAGACGAGGTTTAGGTTGAAATCAGCTGATTGGTTCTACCCGGCA